CGATTGAAAGAGACAACCGCGCCCTCAGCCGCCAGCCCACTCTGCATGCACTTCGCACCTTAGTATTTGACTTCAGCATTGCGCCTCCTCTGAGTGTTGGTATGCGTTTCTCTTTCCTCCTAGTTGTAGGACTTCCACTCAGCCAGCGTTCCTGTGGTTCTGGGTGATGTCTGTTCTGTCTTTTAGTTTCACTTTTGAAGTGATTGTTCGAGGCAGCAAACTCCAGCGTTAACCTATGCCGCCATCTTGGTTCTCCCAAAGACCAGAATTTTTCTTAAGAAAAGAACTACAAGAATATTTCAAACTATTAAAATCAACATTCTCAGATAAATAAGAAAAGACAATGTACTCATATATACAGAATGTCTTAAATAAAAGGAAAGTAAGGTTTGAAATTGGTAATTAAAAATAACCTCAAAGCATTGTAAAAGAGGGAGAGAAAGCTAACAAAATACACCAGAAAGTAGAATAAAAAGATAGAGGGTGAACAAAAAGAGTGAAAAGGGCCCTAACCGGTTTGGCTCAGTGGATGGAGCGTCGGCCTGCGGACTGAAGGGTCCCAGGTTCGATTCCGGCCAGGGGCGTGTGCCTTGGTTGCGGGCACATTCCCAGTTGGGGGTGTGCAGGAGGCAGCTGATCGATGTTTCTCTCTCATCAATGTTTCTAACTCTCTATCCCTCTCCCTTCCTCTCTGTAAAAAATCAATAAAAAAAGAGTGAAAAGGTAGGAAAATAAAAACTTGATCAGGATGTCTAATATTTGACTAAGAAATATCAGCAATATTTATTTGACTAACAAGTATCTCTGACTAAAATAAAACATTTCCAGAGTATTTTGAAAATATTATACAAGACATAATTTAGCCCTAGTCAGTTTGGCTCAGTGGATAGAGCATCGACCTGTGGACTGACGGGTTCTGAGTTCGCTTCCGGTCAATGGCATAAGTCCGGGTTGTGGGCTCCATCCCCAGTGGGGGGCATGCAGGAGGCAGCTAATCAATAATTATCTCTCACATATGTTTCTATCTCCCCCCCTCTTCCTCTCTGCAGTGAATAAAAGCATATTTTTAAAAAATGAAATGATTAAAAATTTGAGAAACAAAGTGCAAGGTCTCCAGATCAAGGCTATTCAGTGACAAGCACACTAAATGAATGAAAGGCTCACTGCTGCAAAATACCAGAAAAACAGGATATACAAAGTCCTAATCCTCCTCAGACTGTTCCAAAAAATTCAAGAGGAAGGAAAACTTCCAAGCTCTTTTTTATGAGGCCAGTGTTATCCTAATTCCAAAACCAGATAAAGATGCTATACAGAAAGAAAACTATAGGCCAATATCTCTGATGAACATAAATGCTAAAATAATCAATAAAATGTTAGCAAATCGGATCCAGCAATACATTAAACAGATCATACACGATAAACAAGTGGGATCTATTCCATGGAAGCAAGGTTGGTACAATATTTGCAAATCATAAACAAAATGAAGGATAAAAATCACATGATCGTATTAATAGATGCAGAAAAGGCATTCAACAAAATCCAGTACCCATTTATGATAAAAACTCTCAGAAAACTGGGAATAGAGGAATCATAACTTAACATAATACAGGCTAGGCTGTGTATGAAAAACCTCTAGTCAACATCATAC